GAGCGCCTGTTCGCGCTTGAGCTGGCGCGGCGCCAGGCTTCCAAATGGGGCGAGCAGCGATCGGATAAAGAGACGGCTCAACATGCGCCAGCTGCGCCAGCGCTGGTCCGACCTTTGCCCCGGGGTCCACTTCTGCTGGCGAAGCCGAAACCATGTGCCCTACTCTTGTCAGGGATAATGTATCGGGTTGCCCGGCCAATAGAAACTTATCCCGCGATTCTTTGCCCATCCGATGATTCCCCAGGTCAGACCTCAACCTCCTGTTTTCATCGCTCACGGCCCGAGCGGCGAGAACATTGTTTCTCATCTGCTCATCTGCGTGCCCTTTTTCAGACGATCCCCGGCGATAGCCATCTTCTCTTGGTCCTCATCTCTGATTGCCTGGGCCTTCTGCTCTTGTTCTCGAAGGGCTCGCAGGGCTTCCGATTTTACTCTTTCAGCCTCGAGGCGCCGCTGGGCTTCGCCTGCAACTCCTGCTACGCTGGCCTCGGTATGCTGCATCCGTTTCTGCGCATTCTCCGCAACGGCATTTTTCTCATATTCCACCTTCTGTGCCATTGCCTGCCTCTCTGCCTCAGAAACTGCAAGCATGCGTTTAGCCTCTTCAGCGGCCTTCTTATTTACCTGTGCCTCAAGGATGATTCGTTGAATTTGTGCACTCGCAGTCCTCAATTGCCCTCGGCCCTGTCCATCTCTTTCCGCCCACTCTAGGATGGCGATACGATTGCAATTGTGCTCTTCCATCGTAATACATTCTCCCCAAAGCCATGCTAGACTACACTTGGGACAAACATTCGAACACTGCGAACGCACCGGCCTTCGACGTGACCCCCCCGGTTCGCGCGCACCCCCAGGACATCGATTCTCCGCCCGAGTAGGGCACGCGGGCCCGGCGCCCCAGCAGCCCCCCCGCATCGAGAAGCTGCTGGCGGTTCGATTCGATGATACCCGCGGCGATCCAAGGGCGTCAAATCCCCTGAAACTGGAACGTCCGGGGGGCCTTACTGGAACGTCCCCGTTCACTGCTGGGGGTAGGCGTGCATCGTTCTCTTGTTCTCGCACCCCTATTGATGAAATCAACGTCCCGACTCTGTGCTAAATCGTCTCTTTCGTCTTGCAATACTAGCTCGTCGAGTTCTGGTACTCTGTCCCTGTTAGTCCTCGGCAATGAGAAGTCTGGTCTGTAGAAGCTTTGCACTGAAGGTGAAGAAGCCAAGTCGTCGTTCTCAAGCGTCGGCTTCTCTGTCATCGGTCGAGGAGGCATGCCGGTAAATTACCATGCGTTCCTCCTTGCGCGTATGACACCGGGGGATGTCGACATCGGCTGTGCCGACGAGCATCCACCTCTGTCTGGGCTTCCTTCTTTTTCGAAACCATCATCCGAATCAAGAACTGGCTTCTGAAATGCCTCGCCCGTTACGTGGTCAGCTGTTTCGCATACTAACGGGGCTGCGCCTGAGGCGAGCTCGAAACATCGATCGGGGAGAGGGTCGAAATGATACGATGGACCAGGTGAGGTGTGGAATCGAGCATATTCTTCGTTCTTCTCAATCGAATGAAAACTGCCCCCTTCCGATTGCAAGTCACTCACATCCTAGCTCTCCCCATGCAATGCGAACTGCGCTGCATGTTCTGTGCCAAGGTTCTCGGCGCCACACATTCCTATGGGAACGTGGTCCAACAACTGCTCCATCTCAAGATCTAGGTCGCTCGATGGTTGAAAACCGGATGTACCGACACCAACTCAGATGTTCCCTCGGCGGCAGATTTAGCTGCGCCATACCTTCCCCCCGAAGATTGTGCCCTGGACCTTGTCGCCGAGTCAACCGAGGAGCCCCCTGTCAAGTCAAACATAGTCTCTGATGCTCGCTCTCTGGGAAGGTTGAGAGAATTTGGTCGCCTCATGGATGAGGGCCGGCGAGTTATGCCCCACCCCCACCCAGGCCACAGAAACTGAAAAAGGTTTGGGCCCGTGTTTGGAAAGCCGAAGTTGGCATCAGCTCTAGGCGCACACAGGGTCCCTTGAATAAGCGCTGGGACAGACCCGACGACACCCTGCGCCTTCCTCCCGCCCTCCCCCGCCCTCCCTGCGCCTTTCCTCCCTCGCTTGCCACCCCCCTGCAACTTGTTGGGTCGGGGTGTCTGCGGGCCCGCCTGGAATGGCACCCCGATAACGCCGGCCAACGCGATAAAGTTATTGTGGCGCCGCGGGGGTGGGGTATAATTATGCCACGAAGAAGGCCTGATTATATACCCCACCCACGAAAATACCCCACCCGCGGAAGAATAATTTCGAAGGCGGCGCGGACGCTGGAGGTCCGTCGTAGATCGCTCCGCCCAGAGAGCCCAAGTACCCCGAAATGTGCAGGGAAGACTGCGGGGAACGCAATTTTGTCCTCGTTTCACACGATGCACACTGTCATGCGACCCGCGGGAGCAAATAAACGCATGTCGCTTGGCAAAGGCACAGGGAACATAAGTACGACTTGCACAATCATAA